GCATCAGAACGGCTTCGAGACGTATTTAAGAGCCAGAACTGATTCGGCCTGGCGACTCCCTGACGGAAAGAGATGTGGGTAGGGAGGAGCCGGGGTGTTGCCCACATTTCTTGTTTGGGCATCTTGGTAGATAGGGGTGCCCTTCCCACTGGTGGGGCCCGATCTGGTTTGGCGAGAATGGTGACACCGCCATGCAGGCTTAGCGTCTCCCTGTGCTTCACTCGGGCCTGCCCAGGAGTCTAGCTGGAGCCCGTCAGCAAAGCCTTGACAGGGACAGCAAACCACATCTAACAGGGAGTGGTTTCTTAAGAGGTGAGACAAGCAAATTGTTTCTCTCCGTGAACTGGTCTTCCTGCTTATGCACAGAGAATCGTTTACATACAACAGGCAGCCACCTAAAGGATGCACTCACATGCCACGAGCATCAAAGCTGTGCGTGATCAGGATGGTTCACGATGTGAACACTGTGGGTGCCTACACACTATCTGTCTCCACCTTCCTGCCACCTTCCAGCCCAGTCTTGTTCAGGTGCATGCCCATGATTACCTTGCGAGTCCAGTCAATGATTCTGAATCCCGGCTGCACATTAAAGTCAACCAGGGAGCTTTAAAATTATCAAAGCCCAGGACCCACTTCCACATGTATATTCTACGGTATATATACCATATATATATATATATATATATATACACACAAACACCATTTATATATCTATACTGTGTGTGTACATATATATATATATATATATACACACCGTAGAATATAAATAACATAAAATTTACCATCTTCACAATTTTAAAGTATATGGTAGTATAAGAACATTTATATTGTTGTGCAATCATCACCACCGTCCAATTCCAGAACTCTTTTCATCTTGCAAAACTGAAACTCTATACACATTAAACAATAGCTCCCCATTTCTGCCACTCCCCATCCCCTGCAACCACCATTCTACTTTTTGCCTCTATGAATTTGATTACTCCAGATACCTCATGTAAGTGGAATCATACAATATTTGCCCCCCCCTTTTTTTTTGAGACAAGAGTTTCACTCTGTTGCCCAGGCTAGAGTGCTGTGGCATCAGCCTAACTCACAGCAACCTCAAATTCCTGAGCTCAAGCGATCCTTCTGCCTCAGGCTGGGACTACGGGCATGCACTACCATGCCTAGCTAATTTATATATATATATATATATATGTATGTATTTTTAAATTTATACTATTTCTTTAGTAGAGGCAGGGTCTCAGTCTTGCTCAGGCTGGTCTCGAACTCCTGAGCTCAAACGATCTGCTCGCCTTGGCCTCCCAGAGTACTAGGATTACAGCTGTGAGCCACCGTGCCTGGCAATATTTGTCCTTTTATGATTAGTTTATTTCACTTGGCATAATGTCTTCAACCTTTATTCATGTTACAGTATGTACCAGAATTTCCTTTTTTTTTAAGGCTGAGTAATATTCCATTGTATGAATGCAGGCATATCTTGTTTCACTGCACTTTACTTTTGAGCTTCACAGAAACTGCTTCTACAAATTGAGGATCTGTGGCAACCCCGTGTCCAGCAAGTCTATCGGTGCCCTTTTTCCACCAACATGAGCTCACTTTGTGTCTCTGTGTCACACTTGGGTAATGCTTATACTCTTTCAACTTTTTTCATTATATTATATCTGTTATGGTGATCTGTGATCTGTGATCTTTGATATTAGTAATTATTTCGGGGTGCCACAAATTGCTCCCACATAAGATAGCAAACTTAATCCAACGTCGTGTGTGTTCTGACTGCTCCACTGACCAGCCATTCCCTTGTCTCTCTCCCTCTCCACGGGCCTCCCTATTCTCTGACTCTCAGTATTGAAATTAGGCCAATTGATAACCCTACCATGGCCTCTAAGTGTTCAAATGAAAGGAAGAATTGCATGTCTCTCACTTTACATCAAAACCTAGATTAAGCTTAGTGAGCAAGGTATATCTAAAGCTGAGATAGGCTGTGCCTCTTATGCCAAACTCAGCCAGGTTGTAAATGCAAAGGAAAAGTTCTTGAAGGAAATTAAAAGTGCTACTCCAGTGAACATATGAATGAGAAAAAAGCAAAACAGCCTATTGCTGATATAAAGTTTTAGTGATCTGGATAGAAGATTCCAAACCAGCCACAACATTCCCTTAAGGCCAAGGCCTAATCCAGAGCAAGGCCTTAATTCTCTTCAATTCTCATCAATTAATTCTTTAATTAGATAGGGGTGCCCTTCCCCTTCCCAATTAATTCTTTAATCAATTGATGAAAGTGGCTACACCAACCAAACAACAGACTTTCAACGTAAAGGAAACAGCCTTCTATTGGAAGAAGATGCCATCTAGGACTTTTATAGCTAAAGAGAAGTTAATGCCTGGCTCAAAGGACAAGCTGAACCTCTTATTAGGATCTAATGCAGCTGGTGATTTTAAGTTGAAGCCAATGCCCATTTGCCATTCTGAAAATCCTAGGGCCCGTAAGAATTGTGCTAAATCTATTCTGCCTGTGTTCTATAAATGGAACAACAAAGCTTGGATGACAGCACATCTGTTTACAGCATGGCTTACTGAACATTTGAGACCTACTGCTCAGAAAATAAGAATCCTTTCAGACTATTGCTCATTAACAATGCACCTAATCACCCAACAGCTCTGATGTAGATATACAAGGAGATGGATATCGTACCTGCTAACACAACGTCCATTCTGCAGCCCACCTATGGATTAAGGAGTAATTTCGACTTTCAAAGTCTCATTATTTAAGAAATACATTTTGTAAGATTGTGACTGCCATAGGCAGTAATTCCTCTGATGGATCTGAACAAAGCATATTGAAAACCTCTGGAAAGGATTCACCATTCACCATTCTACATGCCATTAAGAGCATTTGTGATTCATAGAAAGAGGTTAAAATGTCAACATTAACAGGAATTTGGAAGAAGTTGATTCCAACCCTTATGGATGACTTTAAGGGTTTAAGACTTTAGTGGAGGAAGTAACTGAAGATATGTGAAAAATAGCAAGAGAACCAGAATTAGAAGTGCACACTGAAGATACAAATAAATTGCTGTAATCTCATGATAAAACTTGAATGGATGAGGGGTTGCTTCTTACAGATGAGCAAAGAAAGTGAACTTTTTTTTTTTTTTGAGCCAGAGTCTTGCTCTTGCCATCCAGGCTAGAGTGCAGTGGTGTCATGATAGCTCACAGCAACCTCAAACTCCTGAGCTCAAGCAGTCCTCCTGCCATGGCCTTCCAGAGTGTTAGGATTACAGGTGTGAGCCACTGTGCCTGACCAAAGTGGTCTCTTGAGATGGAATCTACCCCTGTGAAGATGCTGTGAACACTGTTGAAATGACAACAAAAGATTTAGAATATTACACAAACTTAGTTGATAAAGCAGTGGCAGGGTTTGAGAAGATTGACTCTCAATTTTGAAAGAAGTTCTACTGTGGGTAAAATGCTATCAAATAGCATTGCATGGCTTGGTATATATAAAGGGGAAAAAAAAGGGAAGAAAACCAGCATTGCATTCTACAGAAAAGTCTTCTGTGAAAGCAAGAGTCAACTGATGTTGCAAGCTTCATTGTTGTCTTATTTTAAGCAACTGCCACAGCCACCCCAACCTTCAGCAATCGCCACCCTGTCAGTCAACAGCCATCAACACTGAGGCAAGACTCTCTGTTAGCAAAAACATTACAACTTGCTGCAGGCTTAGATGATCATTAGCATTTTTTAGCAATAAAGTATTTTTTAATTAAGGTATACGCATTGCTTTTTTAGACACTGTTATCACACACTTAATAGACTATGGTATATTATAAACATACCTTTTATATGCACTGGGAAACCAAACAAATTGTGTCACTCAATTTATTGCGATATTTGCTTTGGCACAGTATTCATTTTGTAGGGGTGTCTGGAACCGAACCCTGAAATATGTCCAAGTTATACCTGTATAATACATTCTGTTTATCCATTCATCCATTAATGAATACTTGGGTTACATTCACCTTTTGTCAATTGTGGCTAATGTTGCATTATTGTGAATAGTGTTGCACATGGGTATACAAACATCTCTTGAGATGTTTTTAAACTTTCCCTGGGATTTGATTACGCAGTGATGGTTGAGAGCCACTACCCAAGGCAGTCCCTGGAGATTGTGAGGGGTCCAGGGAGGAGGCGAGCTACCTTAGCCAGCTCAGTCGGGTTGGTGCATGCTGATTACAGTGCTCATCACATCAAGTAGTCAGCAGCGAATACACCAGGAGGGTGGGGTATGTTTGTTTACCACAGTATCTCCCAGATCTAGCTCCCAGCCTATCACTGGGTATGAGCTTCTTAAGTTGCTGTTGATTGCTAATCAATAATTAGCAATAATTTTTGAAGATTGCTAATCCATAATTAGCAATAATTTATCCTACTATTAAAACCAATCATCTCTTTCTGCTACCAGAAGTCACATACCATTGCACGTTGGGCCACGCTCTCGTCTATAGCCTGACCAGAACTCTGGCCTGAGCCTGAGTCAGGGTCTAAGATTTGTGTCAAGTAAAATCACAAGTGAGAAAGAAACCCTGGATCCCACGGTTGCTGTGGCCCGTCGCTCCAGTTTCTTCCGGGTCAGATGCTCCAGAAAGAGTAGCTGTACTCACCCCTTGCATCTGAACGAGAGGCCTGATCTATCTTTCCACAAATATCTGCTCCCCCATCCCCATAACCCACTTTAAAAAAAGAAGCAAAAAATGTAGCCGTACTTTTACTGAGGTGGGTTTTGCGGGCTCTGTATTCATGTCTGTAGCCCTACATTCTCGTGTTTACTTTGGTTTTAATTTTAACCTGAGTTCCCCCAAATCATTATTTTATTAAAACCGATGGAAATTAAAAAGTAGGCTCAGATAAAAGAAATGCCAAAACACCCGAGAGAGAGAGTGCTCCTTAATTCCACATTGAAGTCTATGATCGTGTTTGGAGAGAACATCTTTGTAATGCGAAGCAGTCGTGTAGCGAATTGAGAATGTTCTCTGCCCCTCCCCTTCCTCTCTGCAGCCACCAGGCGAGGGGCAAGATGGGATTGGGACACTTGGATGTGCCTTGGTGGGTAGAAGAACAGGACTGACCCTTCAGTGCTTGTTAAGTATTTCCAAGACCTGGGACTCATCTCATCCAAACAATCTACTAGTCAGGGCCAGGATTAGGGGAGGCAGGCAAGGCAGGGGCAGATCTTATCTTTATTTAAAATCTGAATATTTTGTTCATCAAGGTTTTTGGAGGTATTAATTTTGATTTTTTTAATTGCATTAAAATTATTTATCTTGATTACTGAGTTTCTAGCACCCCTCTAAACACCCTTTGCGTGCTCAGAGGAAAGCATGATGGCGCGCTCTCTGGGTGTACCTCCCCTCAGCTCTCTGCCCATCGTGACAAATGACGCCCTTACACCTGTTGGCTCTGCCGCTTCTGCCCCTCCGCCCCCTGCCCTCCAACCCCTCTGGCGAAAACCCCGCCCGGCATCGGCGAGAGAAGAAGGCCCGTGAAGCGTGGTGGCCTTTTCCTCCCAGGTCTTTTGTTAACTTCATTTTCGAGCTTCGCAGTGGAGACGAACACACCAGGAGCAAGAGCCCATTTCTTTTTAAAGAAATCCTTCGTGTAGCAATCACGGTGACAAATGGCGCCCCCTGTGGCAGGCCACAGCCAGTGGAATGCTCTGCAACCTCAAGGCAGCCCGCTGACGCGCTAGGAAACAGAGTTCCAAAGTCGTTTCAACTTTGCTAACTGTGGCAGCCTGGACAAGTCTCTAATATGGTAACAAAGTGGACAGACCTTTAAATGTAGGTATCTCCCTGTTGCTGATACCTCCTCCAGTCTAAAATCGTGTGGAAGGCGCAAAGCCTTGATTCTGGGCTCCTGTGACCTGGCATGACCCTTAACCTGCAAGGGTAGCGGGAGACCCCTGAATTTCAGGCCCATCTCTGTAAAAACCCAAGTGGGGACTGTGACCACTCATTGATTCCTTGACCCCCGGGTGTTTTTTCTACACTGCTTGCTTCATCGTCAGTGAACCAATGTGAAAATAAATTACCTGAGTCTCTGTTGCCATTTTAGCCCATCTTCAAAGTCTTGAGGGTCTAGCCTAGCTCAGCCTCATTAATATTATAGCTCAGCCACTATTAATATTATAGCTCAGCCACTATTAATATTAATAGTGTTTCATTACTATTATTATGCATGCACCCTGACATCATAATTACTTATCTCATTGGCCTGATGAAAACATAATTACACATACAAATGGTTTTACAAATAAGTAGCATGAGACACTGACACACTGACCATATTGTTTAAACAATCGCCACAAGACCTGACCACATAGCCTTACCAGGACCGTGTGCATCCCGGTGTAGAGCCTGCTGAGACACACCAAGGTGGAAAACACCACGGCCATCATCAGTCTCAAAATGAAAGGGTACTGCGGGGGAAGAAGGGAAAACAAGGAAATGAGACCACACTCGGGCATACACCATTTGATGACACAGGTAGGAAAAGCATTCATTGTGCAGTGATTGCTCATCTGAATCATGCATTCCATACACCAGCAATTTGATTATCTAAAAACATTTTTTTAAATGGGGAAATGAAAGAAAGTACAGGGAGATGCCTTGGAATATAGTGCCTAGGAATATAGGAAGGTTCACAACATATAAACATGCAAATAAGACAGTCAAAGTTGGCCTTAAGACCCGTGACCACAACTATTGTGCTGGCAGTTCTAGTGGATTGAATAAATTTTATTTCTACCTGTTCTTAAATTATAAATTAAGAAAGAAACAATTTAACCAAGGGGCATGGTAGATGGCCAGTGCTATAATCTGAAAGTCACAACAAGCAACTTCTCTGCTTCCTGATCCATGACATTTAAGTAGCTTATGACAAAAGATTATATACAGTCAAATGTATTCCTTATAAATGTCCCTTTCTGATATAGGAAATGGGGTCTAGAGCTGCAGCGGTGGGGCAGGACCCTGCACTAGTCTGTCCTTGGCCACCACATTGGGCTGACAACAACCTGGAATATGGGACATCCCTGGGTTTCTGGGGTCAAGGGTCAGGGCAAACAATACTGCCATTTACCTACATGATTGCTAGAGTTAATGAAGTCTAAAACTTCCAGTGGGTAAAAGGTTTAAAATTTATGAAATTAAACACAAAATCAGCATAATAGGTCTCAAATAGGAGAAAGAAAAACTTTGACTGCAGTAATAACTTTCAAAAACTCTTACTATAATTGGCATTTAAGTGGATATTAAGTGACATGCTTTTATTTTCAACCTTTATTAATCACCTGTCATTTAGACAGTTCTAGAAAACTTAAGAGCCATCATTTCTAGTGGCAGAGCTCTAACTAGGGCTGAGGCATCCTAGGAGGCTAATTTGGGCACAGATTCTTTGCTGCCCTGGGCCCTGGGGCGTCTGGCAGAGGGATTTGGTGGAATCATCTCAGCCCTGGAGAATCATTTACTAGGACCACAAACTCTTTGTGCATGTTCCAAACAGGATGAGAGCACTGATTCCAGTGCTGTCTCGTCAGGCAGCTCGGGGAGATGATATACGCAAGGTCACCCGGGACAACCCATGTTATGCTAGTTGTCCTGGTGTCATTATTAATGGTGCCCACGTTCACGCTCAGGCACAACCTGTTTTGGATGCTAAATTATATGGTCGCTTGTTTGTGAGGCAACTGCCATCAACAGCTCAATAGGTTTCAGTTCCCCTCAGGGTTTATTTCATAAATCTTAAAGTCCCACCTCGATTTGCTGCCTCATTATATTGGGAGCGTTGGACCCTGGAGGGAGAATCAGGCCGCCTTACCTGGTATCTGTCCATAGTAGAGATGAGGAAGGTGAAGGCGATGGCGGTGGCCGCCATGGCGTGGGTGGATGGCATTCCGTATTCCGCAATCACTCTCTTTTCCAGTCTCACAACGGGAGGGGAGGAAGGACGGGGCCACTTCAAGATATCCTTGGCCACCTGACCAATATACATCACCAACTGCAAAACCAAGGGCTGAGGTAAGTCTAACCAAGTATGGAAAATGAAGGAATTTCTCAATGTCATGGATTTATTTGGGGGTTCCCAGTTTTTTGGCTGAAGTCTCTTTTCTCTCTGACCACCTACTTATTGGGTAGGACATTTTAGTTGGTAAAAAGAGAACAGGCTTTCTGGATTCCATGGACCACTGAGCTACTAAGATATGACATTAACACATACATTATTTAATCATATATTTTAAAAAACATGTATATAGATCATACAAAGTACTGGGCACTGTTCTAAGAGCTTTACAGATATTAACTCACTTCATCCAGTAAAACCTGTAGAAGGCAGACCCATTTTACAGATGAGTAAAACCATCGCACATGTGTCCACAGACACAGCCAGTAAGTGGCAAAACTGGGATTAGAATCCAGGAATTCTGGCTTTGGAATTTGTGCTTTCTACTACCCTGAGATGCTACCTCCAAACCCAGGACAGTCCTGTGCTAAAGATGTCTAATACTGAAACCAGGCAGGGCTTGTTTTCAAATTTTAACCACAAAGCAACTGTTCTTACAGAACTTCTAGTTAAACATTTTTTGAATGCCACTGTTGTATATAGGCAACGTACTGGATTTAATTTAACTTAATTCCATAATCAGGAGCATCCGTCAAATAAATGGCATGAGTATTTTCAACTCTAAAATAAAGACAACTCAATATGGGTTTTTTTTCAAATGTTTTTTCCATGAGGCCACTAATGAGGAAATCTTCCTTTTTTTTTTTTTAGGCAGAAGATAGAAAACAGAATTTGATGTATATTAACAGCAGATTAATTTATTTTGTTAAAGACAAAATCACAGGAAAATTTTATGAGCTATGATGAGAAAGGAAAGAGCAGCATGTTCACTTAAGTACCTGCCTTTGCAACTCAAAGTTTTGTCTGAGGACTGGCAGGACCAGGGCCACGTGAAGCTGTTTTAAAATGCAGAATCCAGGACCCTCCTTAGACCTGCTGAATTAGAATCTCCATTTTCACAAGATTGCCAGCTGATCCTGTGCACAGGAGAACGTGAGAAGCACCATCCATGTGCACAGGAGAACGTGACATTCTCGCACAGATCACGTTGTCATGGGTTTTTGTCATAAACACTTATCATGACTGCACTGATCTTGCTAGGGTTTTAGTTAGCTTGTGATGGATAAAGTTATCTTGCTTTGGAACCCAATCCTCCATGAAGGGCTATTTCAAAATAACTTCGATTAGTCGGCTAGGATGCTTCAGGAGTTCCCACATTCTGGTGCTTTCTTTTAACTCCTTTACTGGCTGGTTAATTCTGAGCATTATGCCAGCAAACCCAGTGTCCCCCCAGAAGGCGCTGCATATGTTTTTGTGCTCCACTGCCACTGTGCTCTGGGTTAAAAACCAAGAACCACTGCCCGTGCACAGCAGGCCAAATCCACAGGCTATAAAGCCTCAGTGACAATGGTTCTGAATTCCATAGCTGCAATTTCTAATCGGACTTTGAAACTTAACCTCTTTACCATCCCCTCATTACCAGGAACTACTCTCCTGGAAACCAGCTCACTCTTTTTATGTTTTTGCCCCCTCCTGGGAACCTGTAAAAGCCACATGTAACTGACTATTATCTGGGGAGTTGAAAAACTTGCAGATATTATCGACTGAGAATTTTTCTCAGAAGCTGCTTGAAATATATTTCTCAGCCCCGCCCCTTCCTCAGCCTCCAACATAAACAAAATATTACAGGCACAATGACTGATTCTAGTTCACTCAAAAATACTTAAAATCCTCAAAGACCGGAAATCTTTAAATCATAAAGTGAAGACTGACTGGGTAGAGCACACTCAGATAAAGTTTAATTTCTTTGAAGTTTATAAGTTCTTTTGACTTCGTTTATATTTCACCTGCTATGTTTGAAGGACGTTTTTAAAGGATTAGGACAATTGTTCATTCCATTTAAAAATATTATCACAGCTATACATTGTTTATGAATAATAAGTTCCACATAACAATGACTGTAATCACAGCCCTCTTTTTAAACAAGAGAATATGGTCAGAGCTACATTTTCCAAGTCTCGGGGGAAGAGCACCACTCTGAGAATGCTGAGTCCTATCTCTGCCATTGCCATCCATGACAGTGAGCTTATGATGTACCAAGCCATGTATTATTAGGTCCCTATCCTTGAGTATGGAAAACAGTAACGCCAAAAAAAAGAAGAAGAAAGAAAAAAATCCACAGAATTCTATGGGCATGTATATATACAGACAGACAGACAGACAGACAGACAGACACTGACTCTAATTCAATCTGGAGGGCCAGAAACACTGGGCTGGGTGGTAAAGGAAGATGGTTTAATTAAGATGAGGGACAGGCAGAGAAATATTCAAGTCGCAAGAACAGCAGGAGCAAAGGCATGGAGAAGTGGCACTAGGTGGTAAATCGTAGGAGCCACTAGGAGGTGAGGACCACTAGAGTTTAAGCTATGAGGCACACCACTGCGTGCTATCAGCTGTTGGTGGGCTGTGGAGAACCTGGAACTCGTATACGCCACCAGAGGAAACACAAAATGGTACCATCCCTTTGGAAAACAGTTTGGTTGTTTCTTTAAAAGAAACTATACTTAACATATATACTTACCATGTGATAAGTATCTTAACATATACTTATCATATAATCCAGCCCTGCCACTTTTAGGTATTTACCCATGAGGAATGAAAGCATATGTCACACAAAGACTTGCACATGAACGTTCATAACTGCAGATTTTTTATAATAGCCCCAAACTGGAACATTCCAATTTTCATCAACAGGTGAGTAGATAAACAAACTGTGGTATAATCGTACAATTGAATACTACTCAGCAAGAAAAAAAGAATGAACTATTGACACATGCTCATGACATGGATGAACTGCAAAATAATTACGCTGAATGAAGTCAGATCAAAACAAATAACAAAACAAACAGTACATACTAAATGATTCGATTATGTAAAACTCTTGAAAATGTACACTACAGTGACAGAAAGCAGAGGAGTAGGTGCTAGGGAGGGCGGAAGAAATTACAAATGGGCATAAGAAAATGTTTGGAAATGACAGATACCATCTTGACTGTGGGAATTATTTCAGGGAGAGGTACATATGCCACAATGTGCAAACCTGTACCTTTTAAATACGTGAAAACCTTGTGAATGCACTAAAAACTATTGAATTGTTGTGCTTTAAGTTGGTGAATTGTATAGCATGGGAATTATACTTCAGTAAAGCTATTAAATATGTACAGTATATTATATGTCAATCACGTCTCAAAAAGTCACTCGAAGCTTTTCTGAAATGTAAGGAGCAGATGTCTGGGGTGGACCCAGCAATGAGGCACCGTGTTGTCGAATGGCCCTTTAGCCTACTTGGAGATTCCAAGCAGAGGCATGGCCAGGGCTGATCTGCAAGTCTGATAGATCCTCCCTCTGATGCCAAGGGTAGAGTGGGGATGAGGACATCTGGACTGGAAGGAAGGACATCAGATAAGGGAATGTTGCAAAACTAGGGTGAGAGAGAATGGCATAATGTAGGTCAGCAGAAGTGAGGGAGAAGAGAGATTTGAAAAATGTTTTCCTTTTCTCTCTTTTGTAAGATGGAAGAATGTTGAACAAGTGTAAGGTGAATGACAAACAGGGAGAAATTACATCAATAAGAGAGGAAAAAAGAAATGGATAGAATATGGACCCAGAGGTGATCAGGAATGTGGAAATGCTTTTTAAGATGAGAAGAGCTGAGCCACCGGTCCTCAACTCGTGGGTGGTCTCGTGGGAGGCATTCTCGGTGGGCTCAGTGACTGTAGGCACTGTTGGCATTTGGAGGGGAGATGGCCAGGGATACAACATGCCTTCCAACACATAGGACAGTGCCATTCTATGACAACTGCTTTTTGTGTCCAATGTAACTCTAGAGTGTTCCACCAGATATTTATGCAAGTGAAAAGCCCATTTGTAATTCTCTGAATTAAGAGCCTAACTCTGTTTTACAAGTAAACACTGTTTTATAAGTAAATACTTTCTTGCAAGGTGTGAACACACACTGATGTTTTCAAGACTAGAACGACTGTGTAGACAGAGGGAAGCTTGAACTTTAGTTTATTTGGAACTTTATCAAGATTGTTCGCCATTGGAAGAAATCAGGTCAGCAGTGGAAATGCTGCCTACTGTATTTGAGATTCCAACACTGCACATCTGTGTGCCAGCCACAGCTGTCGCCACATCCATGGGGATGCTGCTTTATAAACAGTAGAGTCGAGTCAAGGATCCTGATGCCCTATGAGATATCCTAGTGCAGATATGCCCTAGCACTTACCTATTTTAAATTAAAGTTATTTTTATTATAAGTCATGTTATTGTCTAAAAGTTATATTTGCAAGTAAGCCAAAGTATCTGTGAATTTTATTTCGAAAAAATAAAAGGAATATTATAACATATTGAGAATATAAAAGGAGGTGCTATTATGCTAAGTTTAGGAAGCCAGACACAAAAGACCACACATTATACGATTCCATGTATGCATAATAAAATATCCAGAATGCGGAACTCCATAGAGACAGAAAATAGATTAGTGGTTGCCCAGGGCATGGAGGCCAGAAGTCCGAGATGGATGGGCAAGCAGGGCCACACTGGTTCTGCAGGCTCTAGGGCAGTGTCCTTTCTTTGCCCCTTCCAGTTTCTGGTACCTGTCAGTATTCTTGGATTTGCGGCCGTATCACTTCAATCTCTGCCTTTGTGGTCACATCGCTTCCTCCTCTTCTCTCTGTCTCCTCCTCTTCTATCTCAACTCTCCCTCTGCCTTTCTCTTACAAGGGCACTTGTCATTGGATTGGCCCACCCAGATCATCTAGAATGATCTCCTTGTCTCAAGATCCTTAACTTAATTACATCCACAAGAACCCTTTTTTCCAGAAAAGGGAATGTTCACAGGTTCTGAAGATTAGGATGTGGGTATATTTTTTTGGAGGTCACCATTCAACCCACT